TGGAACGTTGTTTCTAGGGTGACGACCCCGGCCAGAACTGGCAACTTTATCTCCCCTGAGGTTTACTCAACTGCATTGTTAAAACTTGTTAGCGTTATGCAGTATGGTACTATCTTGTCCTCAAGTCTCATTTGTGTGAGAACTCGAGGGTGGATAATACACGCGCCGCTCCCGTCGTCTACCATTATTCTTTTTACATCAGTACCTGAAATACGTAAAGTAATGACAAGAGCATCGAAGTGAGGAAAATTCAAGCCATGGGTATCTGATTTATCGAAGATGATACTATCTTCGAGGTCATCAAACCGTTCATGGGTGATCAACCGTTTCAATTTATGTGTGATGGTGACCTTCACGTGATCGATTGCTGCTTCGTCGCCTCCGCCGATGATCATTTGGATGGTGCGGGCGGGGGAGGGTGGTTTTGGAGGGCCTTGGTGTTGTTCTCATCCGCGGCCGAAGTTGGCTCTTCCTCGGTCGCTCATGAGCTCCCTTAGGTGTCCTTGGTGAAGCATGTTTGTGAGCACGTGATTTTTGCCTCGCATGATTTACTCCTACAGAATTCTTAGATTTAGGATTTTTCTTTTTATTATTTAATTTTTTGGAATTAACTGCATAATTTCCATGTTTATTTGCATTTCTGTGTGCATTTTTAATTTAACATAAATTCATAAAAATACGTATTGCATTTGCATTTAGGATTTAATTTTACATATTTTAGATTAATTAGTAAATAGGATTTTACAAAAAATACAAAAATCAAAAACTGAGTTATTTTTGCTTTGTTAAATTTTTAGCTTTGAATTTTGTGAATTTTCTTTAAATTGATATTTTATTAATAGTGTTGATTATTAACAAGAGCTTAATATAGTTTGGTAGTGTAATTTAGAGTTAATTTAGATTTTTAGTTTTAATTTGCAAATGAAAAAATAAAAAAAATAAAAAAAAAAAGAAGAAATCAAAGGCAATTAGAAAATTAAGCTTTTGGGCCAAATCACTTCAATTCTTCCAAGCCCAAACGTTCCCTTCTTCAAACCGGCCCAGCTCCACCCCATTTTACCCGGTCCAAACTTCAGGCTTTGAGACAATTAAAACGACGTAGTACTGAAGCCATACTACGTCGTTTTGAGATCAAATGTTTAAAAAATCCTGGCCTTCCATCCAATCTGATCTAAGGGCTAATATCACTTCCCCCTCTTTTAATAAAAATGTCC